TGAACTTGAACTGCCAACCTTGCAATTCGAATCAACTTTGCAGTCAAGCACATTAGCCCACATCACCACACCAGGACTCCTATACAGCGTTGCTATGAGTTGGAATCAACTCAACGGCAGTTAACAAAAACAACAACATATATCTAATAATAGAATACTACTCGAAGAGTGTATGTATAGATATGTTGTTTCAGTTTAGTGCTGTTGAGTTGGTTCCAACTCATCATGACCCTGTATAGGGTTTCCGAGGAGCAGCTAATGAGCTTGAGCTACTGACCTTGCATTTCAAACCAACCTTGCAGTGCTGTTGAGTCTGTTTCTGAGGAGTGGCTAGAAGGTTTGAACCACCAACCATGTAGTTAGTAGTCCAGGGCTTATCCTACAGTTCCATACCAGGACTTTGTGTTTGTATGTGTCTGTGTATAGAGAGTCCTGGTGTGGCACTGTTCCAGGAGAGAAAGATGAGGCTTTCTGCTACTGTAGAGATTTACAGCCTCAGAAACCTGATACAGGGCCACTATGAGATGGAACCGACTCAACAGCACTGAAGAACAACAACATATTTGTACGTATATCACAATGGAGCCCTGGTGGAGTAGTGGTTTATGTATTGGGCTGTTAACAACAGTGTTGTGGTCCAATCCACCAGGTGTGCTGGGAGAGAAAGTTGAAGCTTTCTGCTCCTGTAGGGATTCACAGCTTCAGCAAACCTATACAGGGTCACTTTGAGTCAGAACCAACTCAACAGCACACAACAGCAACATATACCACAATATATTATCAGGTATAGAGTCATCTTCAGTAAATTATGAGCAGGTGTGGCACTGTAGGATAAGCACTGGACTACTAACCTCAAGGTCAGTGGTTCAAACCCACCAGTCATTCCTTGGAAACCCAATACGCTGTGAGTTGGAATCGATTCAACAATACTTAACACCAGCAACACTTTTTACTAAGATCTAAGTCTTCTTCATGATTTGTCTCATTCAATTCAAGGCACAGAGAAGCCTGGTAATTACCAAAGATGACTTTGTTAACAGGCTATAGAGCCTAATTTGAACTCTGAATCCAGAGACAGAGTTTGCAGAGTGTGACTGGCAGGGAGAGTTGTATATAGGAGTTGTTGTTGTTGTTGATAAGTGTTGTTGAGTCAGTTCTGAATCATAGCGACCCTATATAGGGTTTCTGAGGAGCGGCTGGTGAGCTTGAACCACTGACCTTGCCCTAAAACCAACTTTGCAGTCCAGTGCACTAACCCACAGCACCACATCAGGACCCAATTCATGTAGAACCTTGTGTTTTAGAAAAGAAAAGAAAAAAAAAAAATTTTTGACCTAGCATCATAGCAAACTCCTATGGCAAATACCAATAGAAAGTTACCAGTTTTGTTATTAAAATGTTTGTATGTTACCTTTGGCATTCACATTGATTTTGCTATAAGAGCATTTTGTTTTGCTTCTATTTTGATCCTGCCTTGAAAAAGTAGAAACCCTAAGAAGTACATTTCTTTTAAAATAGCTAAACTATTAGGAATATATCTATTTATTCTTTACCAGGCAATGAAATTAGTACTGAATTTTCCAATTTGACACTCAGTCTTGGAATTTGTATTTTAGGTTCCTCGATATAAGTTTCCAGTTAAACAATATCCAGTATCTCTGCAAATTTTCACTCTGGAGGGAAGTAAACCAGTGGATCTCCCATACCTGGTTACTGTGACTGAAGTGAATAAAAGGGAAAACTGGATACTACGTAAGATTTGCTCTCTTCTATCATTCTCTTATATTGTAAGTGATATTGCTATTCCTGTAGCCATACTTTAAAAAGTCAGTTTACACATTTGACAGCCAGGAGTTCTGGGGGCAAGAACTCACGTAAGTTAGTATGTTGCTGTTCGCTTTATCGTCTCCCATTTGTTTCATCATCATTCCCAGTGGTCTGGATTCTGTGACTGAAGAGCTGTTTTTAAATAAGTTGAGCTGCAATAAAAGGAAACCTGTTTTGTATGTTAATAGCAAAAAGTGATTGAGTTTATGGTACGTGTTGGTCTATTGTCTCCTTTCTTTGACTGTGTTCAATGCTATAGAAGAAGTTATAAAATATGACAGTATTGCCAAATAATCCATTGTGGTTGTTGTTGTTAAGTGCCGGCAAGTCAGCTCCAACCCATAGCAACCCTGAATAGGGTTTCTGAGATGGGACTGGTAACCTTGAACAGCCAACCTTGAGGTTCAAACTGACTTTGCAGTCCAGCACATTAACCCACAGTGGCACACCAGGACTCAATCTTACAGGAATAAGGAATGTAAGCATAGGGGTGGATGTGCACATAGATAAAGAGGATCTATTCACATACTAATTATTTGAGTAAATTTTCTTAAAGATTTTATGTAAACTAATCAGGAAAATGCTGAAATACTTTTATGTAAGGAAAAGGAAATGTACTGTAATTCAGTTTTGTTTTGCACCTGGTGTGTTTGTTCATGTATAAATGATTTGAGGTGATGATAACTAACTAGCTATCTAGATATTATCATTATTGGTTTCTGTTGAGTTAGCTCCAACTCACATCCACTCCAGGTACAAAAAATGAAGTATTGCCTACTCCGACATCATCTTCATTATTGCAGATATGTTTGAGTCAACTTTGGGGCCACTATGCCAACCCACCTCATTGTCTCTGACATATGTATGCTACCATCCACCAATGTTCTCTATTCAGTGAGTCTTGAAATAAGGTATTAGAAAATAATATTAAAAATACCATGAACTGCAAGAAGAACAAGCAAATCTGTATTGGGAAAAGTACAGCCAGAATGCTTCTTAAAAGTCAGGATGGCCAGACCTTGCCTCTAGACTTTGGTCATGTTATCAGGAGGGACCAGCACCTGGAGAAGAACATCATGCTTGGTAAAGTGGAGGGTCAGTGAAAAAGAGGAAAACCCTCAAGAAATGGATTGTAGGAGAACAAACAAGATGGTAGATTGGGTGGAAGTGCAGTGAGGAGCTCCGTCAGCAACAACACAGAATACCGGACCAAGCAGGCTCAGGGGATGGTGCCAGAACTCTGAACCACATATAAAGGAATATTTAGAAGGTTGGAAGACTTACAGCTAGGGGAATTTGTAGCAGTAGCAAGAACTCCATTGCTTTCTAATTCAAGACACTCAGCTGCTCCCGGAGCCACCCTCTTGGGCGACTCCAAGCAGGGGAAGGATCAGAGCAGCCACAGACATCTGACAGAACAGCAGAGATAAAGGTGTGGACATTCTTTTTGTTTTTGGTATCTGTTCATTGGTCTCATGCTGTCTGTGCACCTCCATTCTGGTGACTAGAGGGGGTGCCTAAGCAAGTGAATATCCCACCACCACCCCCAGAGGGTTCTGCTATGCATGTACACAGATCTCCTCAACGTTTAAAGTGACAGTTTCCACTTAAAACCAAACGGCAACACACAGCCACAGCTGGCTCTGAACTGTTTATCATTAGGAAAAAAGGCCTTGATGGGGATTGTGGAGCAGGACAAGCAGACTAAAAAGGAAATAGGCCGAAAGTTAAATCCTGAGTTACATCACAATGACCAACAGTGGCATCTTGAAATTTCTCAGGAAGAAGAGTTAATAGGGAAGCCCATCTCCTGATCACATCTACCTGGAGGCAATCAGCAAGCATAAAAAAATACCAAAATACACACCCATCTAAGTATTAAGGCCACAGATAACTAACTCCTGAATATTCCCCAAAATGGAAACAGATGACCATATCCAGAAACAAGATAAAGTGACTGAGGCAAATGAACTGGAAGTAGATCTATACTCCATACTGGAA